ACACATACTGGCATTTGTCAGTTCTCCCAAACACTTTACACAAAACTAATTTCTGTGAATAACTGAGCATATACCATGATGGATCAATTTTTTTCTACATCATCACAGTCAGAGCTTCTTTCTAAACACATTTTACAATTATTTAGTTTTAAGAAATGTTATTTCTAGGTCTATGTCCATTACATCCATGTCTGATTGAATCAAAAAATATCTTATTTCTGTTCTATGTGTTTTTGAAAGGGAAACTTAGTAAATCGCATTTAATCACGTTATAGGACATACAGAAAAAAAAAGATTGTTTATCAGACAATAACTCCTGGAAATCATGGCACATTGAATAACAATCATACATTATGTGAGTGTAACATATCTGAAGGTATACTTCCTCTTAACTGTAATATGGCTGAACTGTAGCAGCCTTAATACATTGGGTTACTTAAAAGTATTTTCTGACATGGTCATTTCCTTTACTTCATCAACCTCTGTTATGTTGTGTTTTGACAAGGCATACAAAAGTGCTCGCTGTCCCGAGACCAGACACACATCCTTTTTATTAAAGGGTGTAGAGAGGAAAGGGAGGTGGGGTGGTGTGGTCAAAAGGGAGTACAGTTAGGAAGGTAAGATATAAACATATGAATCATCAATAGTCCCAATTGCCCTGCTAAATTCTCCCTCTCATTGTGTTTGTGGTGGGAGTCGGTCAGCCATCCCAATGCTGAAACAATGGAGGAGAGGTACTGCACTGGACCAGCTATATTATGAGTCACCCTCATGCACGAACACACATACACACACACAAGGTGTAAATACACGTGCGAACACTGGCATTCAAGCAGTTGTCCACTGTCATATTCAGCACAAACAAGACCATTAGAAGAGGTGTTTTGCAAAGAAAGCAGGACATTCTTTTTTTTATTCCAAATGTTCCAAAAGAAAAAAGTCAACCAGCAACTTATTTGACTCTTTAAATTTTGATTGTTTGCTTTTTGATTCAGTGAGATGTTTTAACTAAGCTCTTTTTCTAAACTCAAAATAAATGTATTTTTATGTAACACAAATCTTGGTTTACATTTTATCAAACACTACAACAAACAATTTTTATTTCAAATTCATGTAGAAAGAAGTCAAGACCAAGGCCTGTAGCTGCCTTTAGAAAACATTTTTGAGTGGATTTGTCCTTTAATTGTCAAAGTTGCCTGGTTGACGATTGGTGCCATGGTGGGTGAAGGGGTTCATTGCAGGACAGGGAAGGATGGGGAGGGGAGGGTGGCAGAGTACCAGCCCTGTGCTAGCAAATGTCACTGAGAGACAATCACATGTGTTCAGAACACACTCAAATACTGGCATATACTTGACACACACACACACACACACACACACACACACACACACACACACACACACACACACACACACACACACACACACACTTATATACCAGATTAAGCACTGATAATATACTTTCAAATACATTAAACAAACTATGAAACACATCCACACATTTAAATATACCCATTGTTGTACCCACTTGTATAATAGCATATACACTGATCCTACAAAACATATCCATACTCATCACATACACATACTCATCAAATAAGATAAAAAAACAACCTTCTGCAAAATGTAAAATTTTCAGAAATGAGGTCAAGAACTATCATTATCCGAAATCAGTATATATTTAAATAGTAAAAAAACAACACAAAACAGCCCAGGATTGTCAAACAACAATCTAATCTTTCAATAAAAAAATCAATACACACATTAAACAGCTGACCTAAATCTGCACATGTAACAACATTACTGTGAAAACACACACTCAAACTGTGTGATTAGGAACTCATAAATGGCCGAATAGATGTGGCACACACACTGAAAAAAGAACAGGCTTATGTGCAAAGATATCTAGACAGACATAAACGTATAGGCATACACACGGACATGTACCTGTTTTCAGTTTGTTTAAAATTTTATTAAAATAACCACAAGTGATCATGACCTCAACCCTGCCAAAGCCTTCCCTCATCACGACACTTTGTCACTAATTTCAAAAACAGTGCACCAGACCTGACTTTCTCTAATTGTCAATGTGTTAAATCAATCAAAACTGGGGTGGGCTGGGTCTTGGATCCAAGGTGTTAGAAATAAACATCCCTCACATCATGCCTCATTCCCAAAAAGAGGGGGAGAAAGAGAGAGGCAGCGTGCTGCATTGAAAAAGAATGAGGAGAACTCTTTAGAAGGTGTTCCTAATGGCTAAATATTTATGAGTCCTGTGACCGAGGCCAACTTATGGAAACCAAATCTTTAAACACTTTTTTTGGCAGACAGCTTGCACCCCCAACCCCCCCAGCTTGGCTCTATTACTAGAGAAATTCTTTTGTTCTTACAGAGCTAATAATAGTGAGAAGGGCTGTGCATTATGTGTGAGCGGTGTCTGTGTCTTAATGTGTGTGTGTGTGTGTGTGTATATGAGAGAGAGAGAGAGAGAGAGAAAGAGAGATGAAAGTGTATTTATATATCCTACAGTGCCAAACTACTACTGTGACAAACTTTTAATTCTACTTTGCTTCCTGTCTCTTTGGTCCAAGGTTCAACCTCATATCTAATAGTCAAATCTCTATTAAGAGGAGAGGTCAAAGGTCAGGTGGATTCAAAATGTTCAATTGAACTAGCAATTATGAGTTAAAACAATGGGACACACACAATTTGTAGTGTGTAGTGTATACATTTTTAGCATCTATGGAAATAAATCCCCTACCATCGGCAATGTTTATCATGCTTGAGCAGTACAAGACCATTGCATGTATTCCTATGTACAGGATTAACACACATAGACAAAAGCAACCATATTCCCTGAGAGACAAAGTGCAGAGGGCAGAGGTCATGTTTGTTTTTTTTCTACCTAATTTGGTGTTGAACTGCTGTTCTGGTGCCGGCTTTTATGAACACATAAAAGCCGGCACCAGAACAGAATAACAACACATTGACACACACAGTACACACACTCTCCAATTATGATTGAAAAAAGTCAAAGCAGAATAAATGAGATGGAGGTCATTTTAAAACCAAATGTGTATCACAACAGTATCAACAATGCCAGTTTAAATGTGTTCGATATCAGCATCGAACAATCAAGAAAGCTGATCAGTTTGGCTAGCTCACCGTTTGCTTATTCTCCTGACCATCACCTACACTAAGCCTTGCTCAGCACTCCCAGTAATTACTAATGAGAAACAAGCAAGGAAGAGAGGATTGTGGGTTGTGTGGGAAAAACTGTCAGAGTCACAGCTAGCACATTATTTTTCATCCCCCCTTGTGCTTTAGATGGCTCTTTAAAAACAAGGCAAGGGGGGTTCAGTTCAATTATCTCCCTCACTTAAGTGAAATGCATCCCCACCTCCCCTAAATCAATGGGGCTCGTGCAACAGGAGCAGGAGGTTTTTTTTGAGGGGGTCGAGGGGAGTGCAGGAAGAGGTTTCTACTGCATTGCGCTTGGGTCATTTTCTACCTTTGTAACAGGCACCCAGCTCAATTACTATTAGGCACTAATATGGGTAGTCATTAGCCAAACATAATGACATTTCATTCAGCAGCAAATCAGGGAGTGACAAACACAAGTAGGTGAGATAATTGAAATAGGATGAGGGTGTGAGAAATAGAGGCTTCACAGTGAAGCAGAAATGATCATTCAAGTTAATGGGCAAACCACACACAATTATTAGTGGTAGCCACACCCTACGGCGAGCCTGTGTGTGTATATGAGTGAAGTACTGTGCACCCCAGTTGAATGCAAATACAGATCTCGAAAATGTCAATAGCGGGCACATGGCGCGTGCTAAATGTCAACATGTGTTTTTCAAGGACTCTTGTCGGTGTGGTAATTGGCTCTGTTTTTAATATTACATTTATTTCATGTGTTATTTTCCCCTTTGAAAACAAAAAAATATTAAATATTTGGAGGGAATTTTGCAACAAGGCCCATGAATATGCAGCTGAGCCTTTGGCGATGTGGTGTGAAACAAAGGAGTCAGACAGCGGGGAAGAAAAACAGGTGAAGCACCCACTAATCAAACGCCTTTCATGTCGCTCCGAACATTAACCTTCATTCAGAGCAAATAAAGCTGCGAGCAAGCAAACTCACACCACAAACTCTTCCTTGGGCTCTGTGATGAATAAGTGGGACTTGGCAGATTACATACACCTAGTGAAAATGCTGTTAAAGAATGTCCATCATAAATAACTAAAGGTTAAAACAATCTTAATTAAACTTAAATGTAATTAATTATTTAATTACATGATTAAAAGGGAAAAGCAATACGATGTGTGTCTTTCATATCCTCTGTGTGATATGGTCAGCTCTTTTGTTTGACCAATATGCTAATGTACAACATCTCATATCATCACACAGTGTGTGCCCACTTAGATCTGAGGAATATTTCAAGGGGAGATGGGCGGTATTCAGTTCACATAAAACCCTTAGACTAGGACCCTGTTAGTATGAAAAGTGCCTGAAGCTCATAGTCAAAGTTTCACAACCCATCGCCAAAATGTGTCACACACAGGGTAAATACTGCTGGCTGCTGAATTTTGATCAGGTTGTGGGACAGACAGCGGTGGCAGCTACGAACAGACAATCCTCACCCCCCACAGCCCTGTGTACTCTGCATTAGTGCTGAGCCAGTGCATAAAAGAGGAAGATTAAAGGCCTGCTGAAGATAAAGGATTGAGCAGATGATGTTCTTGAACTTTGTAAAGTACTGTCAATTATGGATGACAATGTGGTGAAAGATTTAGCAGTGAAACAAAATGCAGGATAATTTATTAAAGGACTCCAGAGCAACTGCAAATAGAATTAAAGCTTAAATGGTAGTAGTATTAGTAGTAGTAGAGTTATGCTATCATAACCCATAAGAATAAGGCTATAAAAAATAATGTGTATACATTTTTCCTCACATTCAAACAAAATCTCTCTCATCACATGAATCATGTACACCTACCTTGAGTTCACGGAAGAAGATGCTGCTGCGTGCCCACTCCACGATGGAGAAGAGTGTCTGGTCGGCCATCTTGCACATGAGGCCGAAGGTGTTGAGCTTCTCGTGTTTGCCCCGGCTGGCCTGCTCCTGCTGTAGGTAGGCCAGGATCTTGGCCTGAACCTGCGGCTCATCTGGCTCACACTTAAGCAGCTCTACGATCAGGTGAGGGAAGCTGGGCGGCGAGCCTGACTGATAGGCATCGACGTAGGCGTAGCCCATGATGGACTCCGGCGAGCTGGTGTACGGGTCAGGGTACTCTGACTTGATGGTGCGTGTACCTTGGAAGTGTCCATAGGCCGCCTGGTAGCCCTGCAGGCTGCCGGCGTGTGGTGGCATTGCCATGCTGACCGGTGAAGTGACAAATGGGCTACGGTCATAGTCTGTGGGGGGCAAGGCAGTGGCATGATGATGGTGGTGGTGGTGGTGGTGGTGACCAGTGTGGTGGCCAGGGTGGTGGCTCAGTGGAAGGCCCTTGGATGCGGCCGAGTGGATGTTCTGGATGGCTGAGGTGATGGTGAGGTCAGTTGGCACGGCTTGCATCACCTGAGTCATGGCCTCAATCTTCAGGCCATTGGCTCGGATCAGTGCCTTCTTTTGCTGCTTGAGGGCCCGGTCACGTTTGTACATTGGGCCGAATTTGTTGCGACCACCACGCATGCGGTCTGCCCGCACAGCTGACAGACGGGAAGAGGGATGAAAAGGGAGACAAGAAGGGAAAAGGACAATATTAGCTCTACAGTATGTAAATCTTTGTCTTGCATGTCTTCGTGACAGTGTTCATGTCATCATGTACAAAACAAACTACCTTTTGACACATTCGCCCTTAAATTAGGCAATAAACCGATTATATGAACTGTTTAATCTAGAACGAGAAATACACCATGTGTACAAACAAAGAGTTAAAAAAAAAAAAAACTGGTTTGTTTAGAATAGCAGGTGTCAGAATTTGGTTGGAGAAAAAAAAGAATAAATCTTCTATATATTACCGATTCGAGACTTTTCCATGTATGTACATGGATATAAGCATGGTATTATGGAAAAGAACTCTCATTTGTAACTTGTATGTAGGGCAAAGGCTTTCTTGTGTCAATTACACTTGGCATTTACCTGTTGACTCCTAAACCCCACAGGTCTAACAGATAGTGTCGTTACTCATTGACTAGAGAAACAAACTTCTATGAGCGGCTCTGCTAAATGATCACTGTACAGCTGGCTATCTCTGTCTATCACTCAGGAAATACACACTTCAAAAGCTAGATATTGGTATAGACTCAAAGAATAAAATACATGTTTAAAAATGCTATCTGATTATGCAATATCTAAAAGCTTAAAAAATGTCACTGTACATTAGCAGAAACCTTTTCATTTACAAAATCTCATATACCAAAAAGGCTGACAATAGGCAATTTTTTTGTATTTTTATGATGAACCAAACACACCCATGATGCCCCCTGCCTCCCCCCTCAGTGCAGGATCCTGTGGTGAGGATCACAACGAGACTGTACCGTAGGTTTTTCTAATGAACGGGCCGGGCACACACTGGACTGCTACAAGGGCCATGTGTGATCTGGCCGACTGCTGCCATGGGGAAGCTGCTCTGCTGTCTCCCAGTCGGGGGGCGCTGGTGTTAATTATTCATACTTAATTACTTCTTACTTTCACAAGGCTCGAGGAGCCAAGGGTGCAGCGAGCTAACGGACATCTGGGAGACCACCCAACAGAAAAACACTCACTAATGCCAGTACTGTAGAATATTATAGACTTATTTTCATTGTATTCAATAAGATCTTACCTTCCTCTTTCAAAGAAACCCACACATTTAACTGTGTATACAAATAAATGCACATACTGTACACCTGCCCTGATCATACACAGTGAATAATCACATAAGTCATCCTGGGTCCACTCCAGCTCATGTCTTGATGGATGAATGAAAGAACAGAAGAAGAAAATTGAAGAGGGGATTGGGAGGGTGAAGTGGGGGGCATCGTTTGGGGGTGAGGAGCAGTGCACACCCACACCCACGCAAACACACACACACACACACACACACACACACACACACACACTCCAAGCCGCCTTGGGAGTGATTTTAATGACCTCCGTCACAAAAGTGTCTGTCACTGATCTGAGCAAGAGGAGCCAAGAAGGGAGACACACACACACACACACACACACACTCACACACACATGCTGACTCTTTCTCATACATTCTTAAAGAAAACACACACACAAACACACACTGGCTAACATGGAGAGCATCACACACTGGTCCAGATCACAGAAAAAGATGGTAGCAGGCCAGACGCTCCGCCACCTTGGCGATGGTATGAAATTTATACACAGTGATTTTACACACACAAACACACACACACACACACACACACACACACACACACACACTCACAACCATTTCCCAACATGCTTGAGGTAAACTCCAGTGTCCAATCACCCTGGTTCAGGGATTATCATGACCGTTAAAAAATTGATCACACATCAAAGGTAAAAAAAGGAAAAAAATCAAGAGCCGTCAAATGTATCCATTATACATTATTGTAGGGCGACTTTAAATATTAATGATTTCTCCACAACAGCGTAATTAATGAGCTGAGAAACTAATAGTTGGCCCTACTGGGAAAACAAAATTAGGCCCTGGCTGCTTTCTTGCCTGCCTTGGACCCAGGGACCCACATCACATCATGAATATCAGGACTGGGGGGGGGGGGGGGGGGGGGGGGGGGGAGGTCTCACCACACACACACACAGATTCTTTCTAATTAAACAAGATTTGCATGCATGTAACAGATTAATATGGAAGGGGGAGGGTATGCATGTGTGTTGGGGGAGAAAAACGTGTGTATCTGACTGAGGTGGAGAGTTAATAGGTTAGATGCCGTGCATTGAGTTTATGATGACAAGTTATCATATGACCCCGTGACTTTAGAGGGTTAAAATTATGTCAAAAATGTTTAATAATTAAACACAGTTTAGTTGAGTTTGCTGCTTTTAAAGTAGTAATTTGTAAAAGATTTCATGCAAAAACACAGCAGTAATAGAAATCTCCTTTCATTAAAGCTTGTAGAGTGTCTGTTAAAAACTTAAACTCGCTGGTAGGTCTTTGTCCGGTGCCAAGAAAATGATGTGTTTGATGTTTGTGGTTTGCTTGACATAAGCAACACAAACTTAATAGTTAGTGTTAATAGACAATGACAGCCACCACTGCTGAACAGGCAGCCTACAGAAAGTTGACCTTCATCAACAGAAAATTCATGAAGAAAGATAGAGTACTGCACACACAGCTTGACTGACAGAAGTTGTCTGGAAAGTGCAGCTATGGGCACTTAGCTTAGCGCTAGAGGCCTAAATGACAAAAAGCAACTGGTAAACTGTAATGTGAAAAAATAAGGAAAGAAATTAAGAAAATGAATGTATGAAGAGAAAACATCACAAGGAACTTCTATTAGCACAAAAAGGATCTGAGTTGGGGGATATTGTGGGTTAGCAGTGAGGCTTTGGGCTAAAGCCAAGCTGAACGGTTAAAAGGCTGACACTGTCTTCCCCTCTGAATTCCCCTGACTTACTGTCTGAGAGCATGTCCACACAGAAACACACACGGGCACACACACATCCATAAATTCAAAAACTGACCCAACCAAAATCCTGTTCCTCTTTCCCAAAAGTATCCAGTACCCCGTGTACACACTATCTCAAACATGTACCAACACAAACAAGCACACACACACACAATTTATAAACACACATAGCACCTAACACACTCAAACACATCACACACACACAGCCCTCAGCGCTTATATCCTCTGATTTATGGTTGTTTAATATACAGGAATATTAAGCGCGCGTAGGTGAGAATCCCTGTCGGCCGCCGGCATATTAATAGGTCCCGCGGAGCCTTGCTGACACCCTGTTTGTCATGTCGGGGCCCCTGCTCCGGGTGCGCCCTATCCCCTGCACACACATGAATACCTATGATACCTATGCATAAGTAATGGGACAGCTCCCTGGCTTCCACTGCAGGTACTGGGAGGCTGATGGAAGACAAATCAGAGCAAGAAAGATGGAGGCAGGGAGGAAATAAAAGGTGGAGGGAGAGGGAGAGAGATACAGACAGGAATATACAAACAGTCAGATGTTGTTCCTAATTTGTGCTGAATGACTCTGTAGAGGGATTGCATTTAGATAAATTAATTAATTTAGATTTGATGATAGGTTAACTGCATTAAAACATTTTGTTAAAAATAGAAATTGCTGGTAAAAGTCGTACCTGAGGAAGCCTGTGTGAGTCTGTTCTGTTACGTTGTGAGTGAGAGCAAAAAGTCCAATAAAAATAAATGAATAGAAAAATAAGAGATTAATTTGTTTGCAAAAGACCACTTTGAATCAATATATTGTCATGTCTGGTTAAAAACAAGACACTGGCTGGTCAGCCTTTAATCAAGCTAGGATTAAACCCAAAAAATATTATCTGGCATTATTCTGTATCTCAAAACTGTAAAGGAAACAGACAGGAAAATAAACAGAATTTTATCAGAGGACAATAGTTGCATACTGTTCTTTGATTTTGTTAAAATGTTGTTTTTATGTGGTTATTGTGATAAACTTACATTTTAAAAGGTTAGTATTTTTTTATTTTTTATTTCTGCTTCATTAAATAGCACACACTGGAAACTATGTATTTAAACTCCCAGAATAACATATACCACTCTTATGCTCTCTTTAAGATGATACATAAGTCAAGGAAATATTAGGCAGTGAAGCATATGATGCCAGGCAACTTCAACGAGCATAAAAAGAAAATCATACCAGAGGGAGCTGTTCAGATATGGCACGCTTCATCAGCTTTAGTGAATGATGTGCTAATGGTTCAGACCTTAGTGGGATGTGGCTTTTTTTCTTTTTCTCAATGAGTCAACACTGGCTGAGATGCTGCAGTGCATACAAAGAAGTAAGCATTTTTACAGCACTGTGGCATGTGTGTGTTTGTGTGGTTAAACGAGTGTGTGGCTGCCAGGCTCCATCAATGTTTTGTCTGTATATGAAAGACAGCGTTTGTGTGCCTTTTTTTCCTTCACATCTGTTTGACACAATGACCTTCCTGCCCCTGACAGTAACTGGAGAAGATAAATTAACAGATTAAACAATCTTTTTATAAACAAATATTTAAAAATTCATATATTTTAAAAATCTTTATTTAACTTTATAAAATGTCATGATACGCAAAAGGGTTTATAAATTTAACAAATGTTAGCAACGGATGGCATGAGGTTAAAGTGATTTTAAGTAAAGATCACACTCATATCCAGATCAACTTGAGTGTTCATTTATGGGATAAAATCTGCGACTACTTAAACAGAGTCTCTAGACCCACCAGACTGCTCTTCACTCTCACAGTTGATGCAAAAACAAGGAAGAGGTTCTTTCGGATGAAAGAGGTCGGATGAAAGAGGTGATTTTGGAAAACATGCTTTGAATGTTGCACACTGGGTCAGAGGTATGTCATTTATCCTGTGGCAGAAGCACACAGAGGAGTATAATGGCATGCCTCTGCTGCATTTTTTCCTTCGCTATGTAAAGACGTCGTCACCGAGGTTGAACTATTTTTGTTTTGTTATCGACTCAAGATAATACGACTAATCTCTTTAGTGTTGAGATGGGGTGATATAAATGTCACAGCACTGTTTGTGGCCTGTCTGTCATTTCACCTTATTTCACTGCCTCACCTCAACTTTGAAACATTACCAAAGTAATGTGTTTGTGTGTTTATGTAAAACCATAAACACACAAACACAGAATTCTTTACTGCTACCACCCTCACAGCAAACTTAAAAACTGTACAGACTGGTCCTTTGGTTGGCAGACAACAAACAGGAAGGACACTGCACAACAGCACAAAGGCAAAAGTACACAGTAGAAAAATACTGAAAAGTTCAAGTCAACTTTGAAGTTTTCCTCAATTTGTTTCATAAACATTTGGTTTCCACTTGATGGCCTGAATTCACATGTTGCTGCAAGCTGCTGTGTAATGGAATGAAAAGATTGCAATAACAAAGCACATGACCCCAAACCTTTCCTTTTCCACAGCTATTGTACACAATTCTTTTAAAGATCAAATGACAGCTTCTCCCTCTCGCCTGTGGCCTTCTGAACACCTTTTTGGGCTTCTCATGAATATATGTATGTGTTTATCAGGAAGAGCTGTATGTGTGTGTGTGCTGCGGGGTGTCAGCCTTTCTGTATGGAATGTCTTTACTGGTTGTGGCAGGAGTTGCCCACTGGAGCTTCTGGCCCCTGACAGAGTGCTGCAGGGCCTGTCTTGCCCCCGAGCTTAAAGCTACCGCCAGCAAAACAAATCAAATGCTACCCCCGACCCACCCGTGTCAGCTGGAAAACGACAGCCCGGGACATTCTGCCCAGCGGCCATTCACAATTAACAGCAATTAATTACACCGCACATGGCAGGTAAAAGGAGAAGAAGCCTCCGGAAAGATTTTAGTCAGGCTCTACTTTCACCCTCCCAGGGTCTAATTTCTTTAACACATTCACTTTTCTCAATTATATGTGATCATTTCAGGAGCCAAGGGATTTTTAATTTGATGAAATTACCAATGTGTGAAGAATTTAGTTCCAATATTAGATTGAAACAGTGTGAATAGCAACACAGACTCTTATTCAAAGGCTGCACAAAGTAAAACAATTTGCAGTATTTTTTAAGGACAACATTGTAACTAAATCTCAGTTAATAAAATAATAACTATTACCTTTCGCTTTTAAATCCTCTATTATACACTCATTGAAAAATGACCTTCAGGTTGTTTTATTCACTTCAAAATTAGCGATTTCAGAATAAAACTTGTTAACTCATGAGAGGAAAAATAGTTGATTTTAAATATTATCTTTCAACATCGAAAGATGCCGTCTTGTCACTTCTGGGTAGCCATGTTTGAACAAGCTTCTGAGCCACATTCAAATTAAACAAAGAGGCCTCCAAACTGCCAGCCAAAAGTATCATCATTACCATTCTCGCCCTGCCGCCAAGTTTAATATTTTATCTATTACTCTGTCTGGCATGTTTAAGTACGTAGCAGCTACCAGATACCCCCCAACTTCCCCTGACCCTATCTAAAATACCAATAATCCAATCCAATGCTGGATTTCAACGATTTGTTAGAAATGAAAGGTTTTACTTCACAAAGTTTTAGGTATAAATTTTTGAGAACAGATATTACCGACACCTTCACTGTTAAATGTTCAAATAAACAGCACAATCATTGTGTCAGAGCAGGTATTAACCTTTTTTAAATGGTGGACAGCTCAATTTGGAAAGAAACTATTCACATGCAAATTGATCTAGGAAAATATTTCCACTCTGAGTTTCCAAAAAAAGTTAATGTGCTATGATTAACTGTAATCAGTTCTGAATGGAAAAAGACTAGCTCTGTCATTTCACTAGAACTTTGGTAGAAGTTTTTAAAACAGCTCTGTGGAAGTCTAGAAGCAGTCAACTTCCAATTTTAGATGGTCCATGTTATAATCTTTCTCTTTTTTCACTCTAAGTAACAGTAATTTCAAGCAGGCATCATATCTTGAAAAATATATGATACAGCACATAGAATGCAGTAACACTGCCTGGATCTGCTTTTCCATTCTGGCAGATGTGTACTGTAAGTTCTATATCATATTTTAGTGAGCGGTGTTTACTATGAAACCCCAGAATAGACCAAATCTGTGGTAAACTATTCATGAATTCACACAGAAAAAACAGAACTGAATGCCCACTACAAAAAAAAGATAAATATTCTCCAAGATTGAAATACACATTTCTTAAAAGATACTTTTTGAGCTTTTTGCCTTTATTAGATAGGGAAAGCTAAAGAGAGAGGGGGAATGCAACAAAGGGTCCCGGGCTGGAATCGAATCCAGGCAGCTATAGTAAGGACTCAGCCTTAATACATGGTGCTCTAACAGGTGAGCTACCAGGGCGCCCCAATCATTTTGAAAAACTTCTGGTGAAAGTGAGCCTGGGGGCTCTCTAGTGCATTTGGTGGCCTAGATTCCCTCTTGTTACTGGCAGTGGTGTAATATTAGTAAGTACATTTACTCATGTACTATACTTAAGTACATACTTAAGGTAATCTACTTGAGCATTTCCTGTTTTAGTCAAGTTCATACTTCTACTCTACAACAGTTCAGAGAGAAATATGGTCCTATTTACTCCACTACATTTATTTCACAGTTATTGTTACTACAGTAGTTACTTTACAGATAAATTTTACATACAAAACTCTGGATTACCTTATAGAATATAAAGCACTGTTATAAATAAAAATGAATAAAATTAGCTCTATCTCAACTACCTATAACAGTAAAATGATGTTTAACTTGAATATGTGATGGAGTATTTTTATATTGCAATATTGCTACTATTAAACAAATGATCTGAATACTTCCCCCGCCGCTGGTTACTGGATAGTTACATGTTCAGTACTAATAACATCTATCTGTTTTGAGAGCCCTTGAGCAAGACATTGAAATCGCAGTGGCTAGTTTGTTTGGACATGAACAAGCCATTGTGCACTTTGTAACACTTTTGACCATCTCTCCCTGCACTGTATATCACTGCAACCTCATCTTTAAAATGAAAACACACTGAATTACACATGAACAATTACACCAGCAAGAGCTGTGATTTCAAGTCATTTTGCGATAAGACAAACACCTGAATTGTAAAAATGTGAACATGTTGTTGTACCTTCAAGCTTCATGCCGACGGTGAGGCACTTTTGGAAGCGGCAGTATGGGCAGCGCTTCCTCTGGGTCTTGTCAATCTGGCAGCTCTGGTTCTCTATACATGTGTAGCGTTTGTTGTTCTGGACGGTGCGCTTGAAGAAGCCCTACGGAGAGAACCAATTAAGACGTCAACCCGCTTGACCCCTGCAATGCGATGGTAATTGGCCCATTCACACTCCCAGACAGATGGAGGGGGACAGGCTCAATGGACAGACACACACACACACACACACACACACACACACACACACACACACACACACACACAGAGTTACGTTTTGTACTGTGATGCTTTATGAAATTAAAGAAATGTCAGTCTTTAAAAATGTTTTTTTTTTTATAATGATGTTGAAAACTGAGTATTTGTAATAATTTTTGATTAAATCACACAAGGAAAGTATTCATAAAATTGCATTTACATCACTAGCACATAATTTTATTCAGCTTTGAACAAATAAGGAAAACAACTTCTCTACATACTTGCTTCACCTACTGTTTTCACTGCATTCTGAACACTTTATAAAGTAAAATCTAATTTTTGTCCTGTCAAAATTACATTACTATTCACAACATTCTCTATTCATTTAAAGACTCGGGGAAAACATCTTTTCAGCTCTCCACTTAATTATTAAAAAATATGAGCACAGGAGTCCAAAAGATCCAATAAATTATATCCATAATTCACAGTTCCGGGATTACAGAGATTCATACCTGCAACGTGGAATTAATTATAGGCAGCAGCAGTGAAAATCAAACGAAAGGAAGATGATATTAATGTATTCTAGATCCATAACCTAGGAGGAGAATCCTTAAACCAGGTCTTTAAAAAAAAAAATAATAAAAAAGAACATGCTGCTGTCAATATCTCACCAAACACAAATTTAATTGACAATCTGCATTGCCTGATCAGTCCCAAAAAAATAAAAATAAAAAAATCCACTGCACTAGGTTTTGGATTATCGACTTCTCAGTGCTAAAAAATCCATGCTTCAGAGAAAACTTTTTCTCCAATTTTCCATTTAGTGCACAGTGTACGCTATAAATACTTGACCCAAACTGGATTCTAGCATGCTTTAAAAACCACACAATATCACATCTGGAGATTAAGCGGATAACATCTCACTGAAAAGCTAATTTGACCGGCAGTTCTAACCAAGGAAAGGAACTCATCTCAAGCTCATTTTTATTTGTGAAGGGATTGCAGCAAGCAACTTTTGGCTCTTTCTGTCACACTCAAAAAGTTTCTCATTACCCAAAAAATGTAACAAATTAACATAAAATCAGAAACCATCACAACAATATGAACGTTTGTGCTGTAAAGTAGATACAAGAGTAGTGTCCAATTTTAATTTGATAAATTATCTGAGTTACTGGGTATTCCTGACCTTGGAATTCCATTTTAAAAAACTGCACTCTCCCTGCACAAAAACAACAACCAGGAAACTGATTTTATGTCCATCAAAGAATCAGGAAAAATCTAATTCACTTTTCCACTTTATCTCCCCGGATCTCTGCCTCCAACAACTCTTTACTTGCTATAATCTGTCAAACTAAACAACACTCCCTTTGACCTGAACTTGCCTTCCTCATATTTTACTTTATCCTCTGCAGATCTCAATTACATTTTGTCCACTGTGCACTGTGGCTCTGACCTTTGACCTTCTTGCTAGTTGCTTGTAATGTCAGTATTTTAGGATTATAAAGTTTTTCCGCTATTGCACTCTCAACCCAGTCTCAATCTCCAGAAATGAAGCATGCTGGGATTGAGCCTGTTTGTGTACAACGACCATGAAGCCCTTTTCAGCTTGTTGTTGTTATTCCAACAGGTATGATGTGGTACCATGTTTACTTTATGCGTGCTGGTGAGTAGTGTGAACTAACATTGTCTGCACATGTGTGCGTGCATGTACATCTGTGGAGTGTGTATGCGTGTGTGTTTTCGGGAGGTAGCAGGATTATGAGGAAGTTAAAGAGTCTTTACATGTGTGATTCACTCTTTCTGCAAGTGTGTGTGAGTGTGTGTGTGTGTGTGAGATGGCTGACCCTGATAAAAATGCGTCCAACTCATAACTGTGTTTTTGGGGTTGAAGGGTAGGGGGTGGGATGAGAGGGTGCAAGGAGGGGGTAAAAACCTCGCTAGAAATGATCAAGTATTTTCAAAATTAGACACCACAAAGTTGAAAGTCTTCATCTGGTAGTGCATATCAACTGAAACTGAAACATGTATTTTCATTTTAAGAGAAATCTAAGAATAAAATTTAACTGCTGGCTTTTTCCAGTTTTTACGCCACTGTGGCACTCACACTGGAGATGGATTGCACTGCCTGGCTGATAGCGGACATTTAATGCCAGTATCAGCTTGTAACATGTCAACAAACTGATATATCAGTCCAGCCCTGACAATCGCACTTTTACTGAATAGACTGCCTGCATTTTAGAGATAATCAATAATAGTTTCAGGTAATTATCAGTATTATTCATGTTTCAACAAGGATATGCAGCACTTTATAAAAGACCTCTTCATCTAAATTATGAATGCTCGAACACGCACACATGCGCACACACACACAGAGCTTTAAACTAAACTGGGAAACGTGTTTGTGGATTAGCTCTACTATTTGAGCCCGTGCTGAGGCTGAAAAAGAAGCAGAGATAACACTGACGTCTCCCTTCAAGCAAGTGCTTAGCATCTCAAGGTCATAATATAGGATAAAATCTATAACATCTGCTTTGAATAATGACCACATAGGCAAGAAATGTGCGCTCGCTGGGGCATCAATACTGTGAGCTGCACTTTTACACTGAATAGTGTTAACACAGAGACATTTGTCTTAGCTTAATTTTGTGCTGACAGCTTTACTGGGTTAACAAAAAACTTTGGTAATGCCTATTAGCTCAGTGCTGAGGAGAACTGTGGAAATGAACAGAAAGGGACAAATAGGTTGTTGATAGAGCTCAAATTAATTGCAGCAACAGTTTGCTTTGCAGTAGCTTCATTATTAACCTGTGTGAAACATTTTGCAACCAGACAATGTTGCTGTTCTCTTAATGAACTTGTGATGAGAGTTTTAGACAGTAGGATACAGGCTTGTACAAACAGAGACAGTATTACTGTGTACTTTGCTTCCTGGGTTGAATCCTCCTCCCCCACCTCCTGTTTTGTGGTTGCAAAAATTACAAAAGTCCTTTGAATGCTTTTGAACTCCTGTTTCTTTTCCGAGCTGCTCACCACTTCACAAAACCCTCTGACAATCACAGGAAAAGTTTGTTGGATCAATTGTCACAACAATATTCGACCTCCAACCTCTTTACCTTTGGTTTTCCTGTAATGTTAATGATGAGGAACTGAATCTTTACTGTGCAGTTACACTTGTTGCAAGATACTCTGGACAAGAATGTCAGCTAAATGTCTAGCGTGCGAAAATGTAACTGCAAAAAATGCATCTCCACAGATACACTGAGAGGTGCATACACTGACATAAAGCAGCCATACACAAATATATAATAGCCATAGCATTTCCAGGTATGGAATGTATTTTAAAATTGCACAATGCAAATATTCAAGGAAAATTATTTATATATTTATACAAAAGTAAATAAAAATGAACATGAGAACATGAACTTTGTCTAGCATTGCTACTGAATACTGCAAGCACACAGGAGATAATAATACAATCAAACCATGTTCAGCCACTGTAAACCTAATATTGACAGGCTGTGATGCACCACAAAAACTTTAAAATAATGCCATTAATTGGGCAACTATGCATAATTGAGACCTTACTTTGAAAAAATATTTTAGACACTGGGAATATTTTAGATATCAAGGCAGATGTGGGAAGGTCACCATGAGCACACAACAGACACACAATATTAGCAATAGCAATATTATTGAAATAGTGTAATGGTTTTCCAACGGGGAGTAGAGATAGAGGGCACTAACCTTGCAGCTCTCGCAGGTCAGGAGTCCATAGTGATACCCTGAAACTTTGTCTCCACACACGGGACACATCTCGTCCAGGTCTTCGTCATATGAGTAGTCCATCATTTTTAACTGGTGTGCTGCAGATGAAACACGGACACACAGTGAGAAGTCTATTTCATTGGTGAGCGATCTGTTTTCTAAAAGCCCACTTTCATCCATCAAGATGAACCATGGGGAACCACGCGACGCAACTGAATGAGATTTTTTTTAAAGTTATGTTGGACGTGGTGGTTTAATTTCAGGCGGGAAAGACGATGAATAGTCGATTTTGGAATGAGTTGAAAGGACGCAACCATTTATTTCTCCTCGTTGCCGCCTTCTCTTCTACATTCGTTGCAGACAGGAGCCAAAAAAAAGCGCATGAAAGTGAGCCTCATAAATATGCATGCAACTAAGTCGTGAAATCGCTGGGGAAAATGGAGAGATATTAGAGTTAAGGATTGGAGGAGAAAATGTTACCGCCCACAGACAAATGAAGACACACAGAGAAGCCTTTATCTCTGCGGGCGAGGAGAAAAACATCCAAAACCAACTTGAACCAACATCATTTTTCCCCTCTCGAAGAATAACTCGCAGTGCTATAGAGCAATTCTTCAAGGTTCTTGTATGTGTTTTGGTGGTGCAAAAGCAGAGGCATCATTTTATGTGACTTTTGCGTACGCTAGAAAAAAAGAGTCAATTTTATAAGTCGTCAGTATAAATTAACATGACAATTTATCTTGTTTAGAAAGTAGTTTCAGCCATTATTAAGAATGAGGAGAAATTAGACAAATTGGAAATGCACCAGTCATTGCAATTTAAAATCTATATAGTATAATATATAAATAAGTGGAATGCGACAACATGTGACTGCATATGTTTCTCATTTGTTTCTGTCAAGATTTAGGACTCAATATCCTAACGATTCGAATATCATTGTATTTGTTGTAGACCCCTTTGACTTGCGTATTAGAAATACTTGCATTGATAAGGCTGTGTGTGGCAGCGCTAAGCAAACAGCCAGGCTGACATTTACAACAGTTACAAAAGCATTTATGGTTCTAATCATAAAAAGCAGCCAAGATCAAACAGGAAAACCTCAGTGGATGTGGCTGTAAAAGTGGAAATATTTTGTCAACTAGACGCCTTTCAAGGCCTTCCCATACATTGCTGCTCTACTTCGAAATCCACTCATCTGCTCACTGAGACCTTTTAATTAGACATGATTTCTGGTTTGTTAACGCGTTGCCCTTGTGGGATCCGCGCTGCATATTCCAGCTGAAGCAACAAGTTCCACCGTGCTGCCCCGGTTTTTCCACAGAAGCTCAAAGCAAAATTCAAAAAGGAGAGGATTTGTCGGGCCTGTTCTCATGATGCACGACAGCTGCAGACTTGAACACATTTTAATAAAGAAAATAAACATTTATGGGGCATTGATTGCAGTCAGGCAGTGGATACGGCCATGGTAAATAAAGTTAAATCGTTACCTCTAGTCGAAAATGGTCCTAACAGGACAAATAAAGTATTTTTCAGGAATTCAGCCAAATATCTTCTACCTTAAAATTGTACAATATCTATGCTGCTGCTATGCTTATTAGCTACTATGTAAACCATGAGCTCACGTTTTAAGGAATAGTAACAGATAAATATAAAAGATAAACATACATTTTTATGTAAAGATGTGGGTAAATTGAATTTAGTTGAGCCCTGCATTCCTGCTTCATAAAAAAGCGGAGGTCTGCAGGTTATTGCTTTCGAAGGTGCAGGAACACATCGGTCAATCTCTCACCTGCTGGCTCTCACCTCGACGGCCACTTGCTCAAGCAATTTCCAAAAAGCTACGACATTTGCCAAAAACGCTGACGATTCCAAGAGGAAACCTCTTCAAGTCCGAGCTACCCTGCGTAAAAGTTGATAACGGACTCTAACAAGCCACTGCATGTCATGTGAGTAGCCCATATGTTATCAGCTCTCATAAACCGAGACCGGGCTAATTGATTGCCAGTTGATATCGCTGTGAAATCACGTGAGGGAAAAGAGGGGCATGCTTGAGTATATCTTGGCAGAAGGGTCAATCTCTTTTTAAAATTTCGCTGCTATATGTGAACTTTTTATGAACAGATGAAGGCAAAAATATTTTAATGCACGCCGTTGAAAATTTTAATGGATATGCCCAATCTGAAAACATTTCATTTCTCAATCAAAGCTTCACATTTTTGAAACCATAAACCTAATTCCGCATATTTAAAGTAATTATGCACTAAATGTTTGACAACATAAGTGAAATGTAAAAAAATAATGGGCCTATTAATGATCAAAATAGATAATAAAATAAAGAATCATAAAAGCGACATTTGGTGACCCCTTTTTATTTTAGTTCACCTGACTTCAAAATTTCCTTCAACTTTTAGGCCAAAATTTTATAAATCACAAAAGAGAATTTTGTTGAGAACATAAGAAAATATAAATTTGGTTGAATTTGTTTGTCACACAATTATGACCATTTTGCAATCTCTATCAAAAATAAATTAGACCAGAATTAACAGGCTTTAAGTTCACTGGTCCGAGTTCAATCTCTCAATAAAATCTCTAGAATAATGCACTGCTTTTTTCTTTTTGAAAGGCTGGCAATAACCCTGTCTTAACTACTCTTTGCATGCAGAAAAAAATTCACGAGTCAGTTCTGCATAACAGTTAGTACACGTGTCCTCTGCTCTGTCTCACCGTTTTTTACTCACCAGGCGCCCGCACACTTCCAGCATGAGTGACAGCTCGTGGTAATTATAGTTTGCTCACAGGCCAAACCTTAGAAAAGTATGATCTGCATTCGTACTTTCTAATTATTATATCAGAGAAAGGATTGAGAGACAATAACAGAAACATATTCCCAAACCATAATAATAGCAATTTCAGAAATCACTGAGCTTAATTTGTCAAATAACAGAATACATTCCTGTCATTTAATAATAGCCTAATGACGGTCAATAGCTTGCATAGTCCGCAGAAATGTGTTGGATTTATGCATGTTCAAAAGTTTTGGCGACATTGAGGTACGCACTGAGGACATGCAGCCCGATAACGCTCTGTAAAACTACTTAAGTTGAAGCTTATGAATTTGCCTCTCAGTCTTAAGAGATAAAATGTATGACAGTTCTTACCTTGCATGTTCCTGGGCATGTGCCCGTGTTCCCCATACGATCGAGAGAGTCCCAGGGATTCAGAGTCGACTTTGGGCAGCATGTCAGCGCTGCCGGCCCGAGCTGGAGACTCCGCACCGCTCGGCGGGACACCTGGACCTGAGAGGCAGACGTTCCCACAGAGACCGCCTCAAAGTGTCCAAATTTCTTTTTAGCTCTTTATTTCTTACTTTCTGCCTCTCTCTGTCTCCCAGTCAACGGACCATGATCTGCAGCCTGATTCAAACAATTCGGATTGTCTCGTCCGGGTCGCACAGGCTGTGCTTGCCTGTTCTAATTTGACTTTACTAATTAAATTTCTCGTAATTGAATTTACGCACAGAACCGCAATAAAGACGCAGAAAACAAACGAGTGATTCCGTCGATACTTTTCGAACAATCGCGCTGAGTTAGGAAATCAGTCTCTTACTCAAACAAGAAAACTGCACAGCGTCCGGATTAAAATACGATGGTGAGTTTCCCTTTATCTTTCCCAAATCTTTTTAGCGCGTCACCCATTAAAGTGGGGCTGTCAGTGTTTATTCAGCCTTTAGCAGATGAGTACGCGCCGCCGGGGCCGCCCTCTTCTGTGCGTGAAGTCGGATTCGGTGTGTTGATCGGACTGTGTGGAGATGTGGAGACCTCTCCTCCTCCTCCTCGCTGCTTTGTTTACTCCGCTCTCTCCAATCCGGGGCGCATGCGGTCGTCTGACATCATATTACCCCGGTCCAATCAGGCAAGGAGAACGGGAAACATTGCCTCAAGCCCTCCAGTTCCAGCTCTCCAAAATCTCAGCTGTTTAATCCCGTTAATGATGGACTTTAAAAGCGGAGGGAGAACAAGGAAATCAAGCTAGGTGATGCAACTGCATGTGAGAGCAGTCTCCCGATGAGCGCACGCAGCATAAAGGTATCAGAGCGTGTAACAACAGGAGCTTATTGTAGCAAATGCACGCACCCAAGGTACGCAAGCTTCTACAATGTAAAGGATAAAACTCTTCATCTTTATATATCTGTTGCATATATTTTATTGAAATATTTAAGCTCAATAATGATGTTAGCATAATTTTATCTACTTCTGCAGGCATCTTATAACGATCCCCTGATCACAAAAAGTCATAAGATATGATCAAATGTAATAACCTTTCTTTCATTCTTTCTTTCTTTCTTTCTTTCTTTCCCATTTCATAATGCAGGTGAAGGACACTTAAAATTCTGCATTAGTGAAATCCCATGTAGCCAATATAAAAAAAAAAAATAAGTAAAATAACCTTTGTAGTATTAGTGGCTTTGTGTTTTTTTCTTAAATGTTGTTGAAAAAGTGAGCCGGCCTCAGGCTTAAAACGGCCTTTATTTTCGGATCAAATCAGCCCCCTTACACGAAAAATTAGACCTGCTTCTGAATTACTATCAGTAATTGGCTGAGCAGGGATCAATTACTGATCTGACGTCAGGCTCGGGCTCAGCCAAGTAAAAATTAAATACATGAAGACAAAAAAATAATTAGCCGTCTATAGGTCCCCACGAAGCCCCCCTCCACCCGCTCCAACACAACCAGACTTTTTTTAGTTCACACAGACACGGTGTATCATTACCATAGGTCTGTGCCGGTGAGGACGAGCAGGGGAACCACGGAAAAGTAACGAGACAGACCGCCAGACACACATCTGAAGGGTCGCAGAGGGCGAGCTCCACACGCACACACACACACACACACACACACACACACACACACACACACGTGTACACAAAGAGTCACCTCCAGTAGTTAAAAATAACAAAAAGGGCCCATTTAATTACACATGAATTACTATTTCTACTAGACTTTATATTAATTACATTTTTTCAATAAATTCCTCAAGACTTTCTCCTCTCTTTTATTATTTCTATGATTTGTAAAATTTCTTTCTCAGTGAAATATCTACTATAAACTGGGTTTATTTCAATTTCTTTCTCTGGGAGAGTAAACTACTGTTACATCCTAATAGTCCAAACCATTATTGAAAAGCAGGATAAATATAGACACATATTTTTCAGAACTCTGGTAGAATAAAAGTGTAAAACCACATGTTTTATACAAACAGACACAACTCAACCCATTGCATTTAATTTTTACAGCATTAGTTCAAATGCTGTTCATACCACATGGACATGCTTTATAAGTGCATAATACACCACATTATCACTGGGAGACTCAAAAAATTCACACTATCACTCCTCCACAATTGTATATGCAACATGCTTTCCCTCTCTTTTCAAATATCCCCATGATCCAAATGCTATTTTGGCCATTTCAATAAAAAAAATGCATTCTAAAAGACCACAAGACATTATCATTTAAATCCAATAGAAACAAATGTTTTGGTGAACTTTGTGATGCAAAACATTATCAACTGCAGCTGGTTTACATAAAAGTCAATACACAGTAAGCACACATAAAACAGGCTCACCTGCTCCTATTTGGTCCTCTGTGGAACAAAGCTGATCATGTTGTCATAGTTTCTCCCTCTTTTTCCCAAAATGCACTCCAACACACACACACACAGAATTCCCACTACTGTTTCTTTAAAATGTCTTATTACTGAAAACGTCCCATTTCACCTCTGTTCCTTCACACATTGACCTGGAGTCTTTCTGTCTTCCAGCAAAAGGGTAATGATAAATTATAGTAACAAAACTGTTGAACATGATTTAATTCAGTATCAGTAATAAGCCAACCTACCTTCACATACTGTATCCACACAGATACCTTTTTTTTAATTATCATTTGGTGAACAGCACATCAACTACAATGTTGACAGGGTGCAGAGAGTCACCAATCAGCAACATACTCTTAATGCTGGGCTGTGATTGGTTAAAGACGGGTTCTGGAGTTGGGGGTGGGGGTGGAGTGAGGGAATGAGAAGGGAGAGGATAAGTAGGGGCAGAGGGCTGAGAGGGGGGATTCAGGTTAGGTTATAAAATGACACAGAGACTGATAAGACCTTCTGTGGTAAGATAGCACTGCTGGAATGATTAACCTGTATGGAGAGAGGGTGAGAAGGGATGGGGGGAGGTGGGGGGAGTCAACATGGGTGTTGTGGTGAAATGTAAGGGACACAGAGGAAGAAGGAAAGGATAAAAGACAGGTCACACGGTTTGAACACAGAAAGGCAGACAACAGACAACTACAATACCTCATCAAGACTGAGACAAATAGATAGATAGATAGAGAGAGAGAGAGAGAGAGAGAGAGAGACCCAGGAACCTAAGTAGTACTTTATTGACACAGTTTACAGTTTGAGGTGGTAAAAGTCACAACAAAGTAATGCCAACACCATGACTCAAACTTTGGACTAATTCTCAGCCACGTTTCACTTCCAAGTTTGGATTGATCTGATTGGCACACACACAGTAGCCCCCCCCCCCCCACACACACACACACACACTGACTACACTGACTACACTTTCAGGAAAAACACTGTTGCACAATGCATACATGCACTGAGTGATTAAAGCACACACATCATTGTCTATCATTTTAAATTTAATCATAAAAATCTGTGAGCTACTTTGCGTGTATCAAGTTGTATGTGTATGTGATCCTGATTCTGATATTAATGCTGGTATTGTGCAGCATTTCTGTTTGAGAATGTCTGTGTGTATGTTTGTGTATGCACATTGTTCATGAATGAGTGTATGTCTGCATGTATGACTGATCTGTTCTGATCAAATAACAATAGCCTTGGAATTGGTACACACACACCACCGTCATTAAATTACAATCAACACACACTCGCTATTCATAACCAGGAAATCACCTCTCCATCCCCCCCAAACACACACACACACGAACGCACCTCTCCCCTCAGCCTACCTCTGTTTTCTTTATTGATGTAATATAAACATAGAGTCATTCACTCTAAAAATACTGCTGGACCGAGCGTACAGAGCAACAACTCATAAAACAAAACAAAGAAGGTGGTAGTGTGACACAAACATAGTGTGGCTGATGTTAACAAAGCACAAGAAAAAGATTTCAATTTCAATTTCAATTTATTGATAGATAGCCCCTTGAGATGCTGCATCTCGATTTCAAGAGGGTCCAAATACACATATACGTAATACAACAGGAAAATCAAAAACAAAAATAAACAAACAACAAATGCTCAAAACAATTGAGTTACTAGGCAGCTTACACCCTCACCCCAGACCGAAGACACATCATAGCCAGATATGTTATAGCTAGATCAGTAACTACATCTCATTTACCTCATTACACAATTGGAAGAGATTCAATGCAAAAAGGTATAATATAAGAAAGACAGAGGTCGAATCCACAGGAGGTAAATCAATTAGACAGTTACATGAAGCAAAATACAACTACAAGCAATGTTTAGTCCAGCATCAGTAACATGCACACACATTGTTAAGATATTGAAATATAGATAACCTAAATCTGCAAAAAGATGAGATGGGTCTCAAGGAAAGAGGGAAATTGTTCCAATGGCAAGTAGCTTTATAATGAAAAGCTTTACGTCCAGCAGCTGAAAAGATTCCTGGTACAGTAAAGACAAGATATTGCATATCTCTAAGTGGATACATAGAACTACAAGGAACCAAGAGTTCTTTCAGATACGGAGGACAATCAAAGTAGGCACATTTGAAAATAAAGAGGAACCAATCTCTTCTTGAATTAAGCTGAAGCCAATTTAGTGATGCATACATTACACACTGATGAGTTTTAAAGGACACCTCAGAACAAATCTACACAGAGAGTTAAAGACAACATTAAGTGGCTTAAGAACAAAGTCTAGTGTTCATGTAGATATCAGCGTAGTCAATAATGGGCAATATCAACTGAGAAATTAACCTTTTCAACTTCAAATGTGAAACAATTAACAGATCTATAGAGTGAACTGAGACAGCCATATATTCTTTTTGTGATATAATCAATGTGAGGTTTAAAGATAAGCTCAGAATCAATCCACAATCCAAGGTATTTTAATTTTTCCAATTTCACCATGGGGGACCCATCTTCAAAATAAAGTTGCAAGTTTATAGCACAAGGTCGTCTGTGCCTTGTCCCAAACAACATACAACAGGACTTGTTGAAATGTGCTATACAAATAAACTTGCCTTGCCTTGCCTTGTGAAGCCATTTTTCAGTCATAATAAAGTCAGTTCTGTTCTGTTCAAACCTGTTCTGGATACAGTGAATATCAGTCAGCATGACGGTATCATCAGCATAAAGATGGAGCAAATGTGCAGTAAATCATTAATGAAAATCGAGAACAAAAAGGGTCCTAGAGTGGAACCTTGAGGACCCCCCTTTTTCAACCAATAAATAACCAATAAATAATCAGACAGTGAACCTTGAAAAGCAACACACTGCCGTCTATTGTGAAGATAAGTATTACACCATAACAGAGTACTTTGATTCAAACCCATTGCATAAAGCTTGTCAAGAAGAATGTAAGGGACCACCATATCAAAAGCTTTGGAAAGATCGATAAAAATAGCACCAGTTAGCTGTCCCTTATCGAAGGCGGAGAAAACGTCATTGGTGAACTTCAATAAAGCTGTGGTGGTTGAAAAATTAGGCCTATGAATGATGAAATGAAGCAGCAGAATTCTCCAGCTTAGTTTAAGCTGTAAGAAGTAGATAGAAGAATATAGTGAAGCGTAAAGTTTAATACCCCTCTTAAATACAGTGAACTAAAAGTACTGTATTTGATCATTTTGACCACTTGTGGGCAATGAAGCAAGCTGTAAGGAACACATTGACATATTGTCACCATATAAAGTTATTATGGCAAACTTGTTGAGAAACAAATTCCCATTAACAAATCCAGCCAACTCTGAGAAACATTATCATTCATTTGTCATGTTTCTAGACACCTGACGGATGGAAGTCCAAATTTTAGCTCTGTTTTGCTCTCCACCAAATCCTGAGGGAAATATTTAGCTCTTAAGCTGCTAAATGTCTGCTGGGCAGTAGGCTATACTGTGGAGTCTTTTTGCTGAAAACAGCTGCATGCTGCAGCTGGAAGCAAGGTTGATGACAGCGGAGTTTGCAGCAAGTAAAAACAAAGAAAAAGACATTAAAACACATGGGGAAACTACAGTGTTGGATAAATGTTGTTGATCTTTTGAAAGTATTTTTGCTTGAAATGAAGACTTTGGATATTGTCCACCATCCTCTCTTGACAAGGGATTTAGTCATCAGTTGGTAAACTATGGGACATCGCCCAGTTACTCAGCTGAGCCAAAGGCTCAGTTGGTCAAACCTCTACTCTGTCACTTCTTGCTCTCCATGACCACGTTTGTTGTATTGCAGTATGGCCAACACATCAATTTATTTGTCGTCAGTGACAAATAATAAAAGTAAAAAATAGTGATTCTAATGAGGCTCTTGCCAGTTAACCAAAGTGAACAGTAATTTCTCCAACCATTGATCAAATCATTATTTTACAAGCGAAGTTGTCTGACAACATAAACATAGTACAGAACAATGAAAACATCTGTAGTGTGTGATCAGCTATACTTACATTAAACATGAGTGATCAATTAGAGGTGAGAAAAAGTTGATTAGTTAATATTACTGTTACCCAGTACCATATGCTCTCTGCGCTGACATTTAGATTGATCTACTTCAAATAGCATTTTCAGAAAGTTTGGTTTTTAGTTGAGAAAACTGACATTGTAGATAGTCAAAATGGAAAGGAAAATAATTTAAATTTTTTAATTAAATTAAATTTAGTTTGGTCACAATTCCTGCATGCTCTTGCCTCTTGTCTGATTGTCACTCTCTCCTAATTCCCCAGTATATCTGGCATCCCTTTGACTTTCTATTGTGCCCCAGGTCAACTGCTGTTACCTGCTGGTCTCCAGGTCTTAGGCTGTGGACAGTCACTGGATTATTGGAGGAAACTGAGTCTGTCAACAGCAAGTGTTGACATTTGGGCTTAAGAGATAAACCTCACAAGGGATCAAACAACTGGCCCTTTCGACTGAAGACAAGAGTTTGCATTTGTGCGTGTGTGTGTGTGTATGCATACATGTTTGTATAAAGAGGTTTCAGTGTTGCAAGTTTGTTGCTGACAACCTAAAGTGGAAGGGCGCTGATATTGTCTGTGGGGCTTGGTTATCTCCATGTCAAACGGCTTAGAAAACATAACAGTGAGGTGTGCTAGAGACACGTTTCAATGATTTATACTTTATACAAAAGTAAAAACAGGGATATAAATATATAAATGATAAACACGTAGACTGAATATTTTCAGGCTTGACTGACATCTGTGTGTTCAAAAATGAAGTCTCACAGAAACACAGATATGAGAGGTTCGAAAGAGACAGACAAACTCTGCTGATGTAAACACAATTTTTTAAAGAACTTGTGAATGTGTTGTACTTACATTTTGAGAAATCATTACCACGTTACTTCTGTAGTTCACTACAGTAGTTCAAAGAAATGACATTGTCACTGAGAAGATAAGCCTGCTGACTTGTGCCCTTTATTTTACATTTTGAGCCCAAGGTTGTAAATATTGCTAATTCTTTTGGGAGACACAACAGAAACTGTGTCCAAAATAAAGTTGAGTTATTTCTTGCAATGGCTGATTGTGGAATGGGCAACATCAGGGAGGGTGAGAAGGGATAAGTAGCAAGATGCTCTTTCCTACATAAAGAGAGAGGTTTTATGGTAACTGTGGTTAAATCATCATTAATATCAACCCTTGGGACACAGATTACCAATTATGTC